ACTCTATACCCTTTTATAGTTTTGAATTCTGTATCTTGGTCATGTATTGCCCATTGATGAAAAATAAAATTCAAAAGAACTTTCAAAAGTCAAAATAAAATTTAAAAAACTTTAAAAGCCCTACATAAAAATAAAGAACATGTGATGAGAAGAGAGTAGTTTTTAAACAGAAACATGTAACTTTGCTTTGCAATGACACATGGCATGTTGTATTTTGACCTGCAGGCCTCCAGCTGACAGTGTCCAATGAGAGTTTCATCTTTGAGAACATCACCATCTCCCTGACATGGCTCCTCTCTCCCTACAGTGGAAACCTGTCCTGTATAATTAATATGGGAGATGGACACACTTTTGATCCTTACTATCCCCCCAGGTAAAAGGAATCTCTGAGCTTTGATTCAGGTTGTATCAGTTTTTGATGCATGACAAACAACCCCAAAACTTAGTGACTTAAAACAGCATTTATTATTTCTCATGGTTCTTTGTGTTGGCTGGGTAGTTCTTGTTGGGGCCGGCTCAGCTAGGGCTGGATGGTCTAGGAAGGCCTCACTCACATGTTGGGTGGTTAGCTGGGGGTCAGCTAGAGTCATGTCTCTCATCACCCAACAGGCTAGCCTGGGCTTGTTCACATGGTGGTGGAAGTGTTCCTAGCAGCAAGTGAGAGCAAGCCCAATGTGCAAGCACTTTTCCAACTCTACTGGTGTCACATTTTCTAATGTCTCAATTAACCAAAGCAAGTTCCATGGCCAATCCAGCCTAGATTTAAAAGGTGGAGAAATAGACTCCACCTGTTTATGGAAGGAATGGTAGAGCCACACTTGGGGTGGGGGTGGGGGGCTGTGTGAGCCAAAGAGGGAGTCAATGTCAGAAAAGGCATATGGAGCCAGATATTCGACTCCCTGATCAATGCTACCTCTGTTGTTGCTAGCTGCTGTTGAGTGATTCCGACTCATGGCAACCCTATGTGTTACAGAGTAGAACTGCTCCTTAGGGTTTTCTTGGCCGGGACTTTTCTTTCGCAGTACTGCTGAGTGGGTTTACTGCAAACCTTTAGGTTAGCAGTTGAGTGCAAACTGTTTGTGCCACCCAGGGACCTTATCTCTACCGCTCCTCATCTCCTCCCAGACATCTCAATGTAATGTCCTATAACACCAAGAACATAGGTTGGCCATGTAGCATCTTTTTTTAATAGTCTTTTTATCTTTGCAAAGCAGGGAAGGTATGAGGTGCATGAGAGCATGTGTGCATGCATGTATGAATGTGTGTTTTTGTGTGTAGCCAACATTCTGACTGTTGCCAGCAGTTTGTCCAGCAATGTGATCTACCAGTTCACATCTCCTGGGGAATTCACAGTGTTTGCTGAGTGCACAACCAGCGAATGGCATGTGACAGCTCAGAAGCAAGTGACAATGAGAGACAAGATGGAGAGGCTCAGTGTGACTGGGTGTTCCAGCCTGTCCAGGTCAGGGAACAGCCATCTCTGTCAGACTGTCTTTGGGGACCCTCTCTGGATTCAGGTGGAGCTCGATGGAGGTGAGTCTGCAGAAATGGTCAAAAAAAAAAAAAAAAACAAAAACCTGTTGCCATTGAGTTGATCCCGACTCATAGTGACCCAATAGTACAAAGCAGAACTGCCCCATAGGGTTTCTAAGGAGCAGCTGGTGGATTCAAATTGCTGACATTTTGGTTAGCAGCTGAGCTCTTAACCACTGTGCCACCAGGGTGCCCTGTAAAATCTTTCTTAATCTCCTCCAAATCCAACTATCTAACTCCTACCAGTTGCTATTGAGTCGATTCCTACTCATGGTGTCCCCGTGTTAGTCCCCCATCTAACTCCTAGGCTTTAATAAATAATTGCTATCATTTACTGAGTTATTTTTTTTTTTTAGCTTTTATTTATTCATTCATTTAGCACCTAAACTGTTCCAGGCACTTCTAAGTGCTTTACCTGTACTAGCTTATTCAGTTCTCACAACCACCCTGTGAGATGCATATTATGATCTCTATTTTACAGATGAAGAAATAGAGGCACAGAAAGGTTAAGAAATTTGCCCAAAATCACAAGGTTACTGAGCTAGTAAGAGCTCCCAGCCTTCAAAGGCCCTTCTTTACATGGCCATAGTCCCATCACAAAAATTGTCATCAATGTGAAAGTCACTCTCATTTGGTGGTGGTGGGGGGGGGATTTGAATAGGATGAAGCAGGCATGAGCTCATCTCAGCACAGCCAGCACTGACCAGCTTGGCACAATTATGTCCCCCTGAGCTAGGGCTGATATTCAGCTGCACACACTGATACAGCCATAACAGCAGTTACAGCTGGCATCCGTTCTGATTTGTCACAGTGTCTTTTCTGATTGGCCACAGAGGCCATTCTGATTGGTCATCATGTCCAAGTTGATTAGTCAAGGTGTCCATTCTGATTGGTCATGGCATCCATTCTGACTGGTCACAGTATCTATTCTGATTGGTCATGGCATCCATTCCGGTTGGTCACAGTGTCTATTCTGATTGGTCATGGCATCTATTTGATTGGTCACTGTGTCCATTCTGATGGGTCACAGTGTCTATTTTGCTTGGTATCCATTCTGATAGGTTTCAGTTGTTAAATATTTTAAACATCACTCCTGCTCTCAGTAGAGAACCTCCCTGCTAAGACCCACTGCCACACAGAACAGCATCTTTCATCAAAGCACAGGCCTGGAGGGAGGTCTGTTGATGTAAACTATGCAACACAAAGCCATAGAAATGAGGACTTGTCTCAATTTGACCTCACACACCACTTGGGGCCTCACTCATAGTTACACTAACTTAATGCAGCTATAAAAGGGGCTTTAACACAGTGCTCGTGGGAATACTTTCTGTTCTTGTGGGCTTGATGGCTGATATGCACACCTGGGGAAACTTAAAATAAACGTTTATTTATTCATTCTACAAATGTAATTTAGTGCCTACTCTTTGTCAGGTGCTGGGGAAGCAGCAATAAACATGAAAATCAAGGTTCTTGCTGTCATGGGAATAACATCATCATCATCATCATCATTATCACCCAAACAAAAATACAATAGCTTGGTTTCTACTGGAAAGAATCCTAATTTGTTGGTTTAAATCAGATTTTAAGAGTCAACCACAATATTCAGCACCCAGTTAGGACAACCAGCCCC